AGCAGGAATACCATACAGATAGGGCTGCAACAGAGCTATTTGCAAAAAACAACCAAAAAAAAGGGAAGATGAGAAACTAAGGTATAGGGTAATTACAGTGGAAAAGTGTCAAAAATACGTGCTAATTTCAGCTGCATTTATTTTATATCTGGCTGATATAGTCCTATATTCACATAGATACTTGAGACATGGGTATCAACACAACAGACAAAACACCTCACATACCTACTTTTGCAACACCATCTTTATAGTCGTAGAAAAACTAAATCCTTGTTTTGCAGTAGGGTACAACCCACCCTCCACTCCCAACAAAATCTGCACCAATGCAATGCCATAAAGCATCACACAGATATACCAGAGCTAGATATGGACTAGAAAGCAGGAGAGCCGCATCAGCTTGATCTGCTTGGGCCAGTGAGCTTACACATCTCTTCTGCTGAGCCTTGAGTGGTAGCAACAGCAAGAGCCAGGTTCAAACTTAAGGGAGTCATGACAAAAGTATTCATTTAAGTCCCAGACAAGAAGCCTAAGAAAAGAATATTAAAACTTCAGATACTGAGCTCCCTCACAAACATGAATCAAATTGTTTAACAAATAAAGTTTACATGTATCATGGTGGATAAACAAGACAATGATAACTAACCCTTGAAGTGCAATTACAATAACAATTGCAGAGCCTTTTCCTCTGGGAAGGAAACCGGTGGGGCAACAGAGTGCTTGCTACTTCTGCTGGTAGCCTGGACTCTGAATTTGATTTTTAAATCTTGCTGGGTAACAAGGCCAATCTCAAAGTGTGAGCGGTTTCTGGCACCTGTTCCTCTCTAGCTGCACCTGCTAACCCTGCTTGGGCATGCTTCTGCTAGCTGCTTCTTGCACGCCTGCTCCCTCTGCTATGCCTTATGTACAGGGACTCTGAACGCCAGCAGCTCTGCTAAGTCTCCATTAGCTCAGCTCCTGAAAGGCTGCATGTGACATTGAGAACTATATAGAGCCCCTGTGCTCACAGAAAGCTCTCAAGAAGTTTGCTTCTCACACACCTGTCAGAAAATTCTACATACATTTGTCACGCAACACGCATCCCTCTCTTGCAAGTGCCAAGTTTCACTTCACAAGACTGCAAGTTGTTCCCTTAATTGTGTTTTTAGCACATCATCATTAAAGAGGCATGGCTGGCCTAGACTACTGAACACTGTTATAAATACAATTTTATCCACTCTGTGATAGAACGCCCTTTTTAATGGAAATACCTCTCAAATATGCTACACCAATATATGCAAAACAAACATTTTCAGGCCAGCCACCTGGTCCTTTACCATTTACGCCCTCTTTGATCCACCAGTGTTGTGGCTCCTCATCAGGATTCTTGGGGAGGGAACACGAGGGGTTTTTGCCTTCACTTTCAGCCTGAGTCACCAGCCACACACTCAAGTGAAGGGTTGCACTGATGCAGCTCTACCAGTTCCATATTCAAGCTATCATTGCCACATGGCTCTGGGCTGCATAAACAAACCAGCTGGTTCACAGCCGTTTCAGGCATTCCTCCACAACTCTCTTCCCCCATGTAAATACAGCAAAGGGCTCTGGTAACACACAGAGACAGCACCTCCCAGAAGTGTATTTCTATATCCCGCTCTAGAATTGAGAATGCCTCCCACTTATTTCCAAGACCTGGCTTTTATGTTTCTTCTCCTCAAGTAAGATTGGTGTTGGGCCTCTAGAAAGACCAGATACTATAATTATTCTCTATCTTTATTTCTTTCACAATACAGCAGAAAAACATACAGAGATTTTCTAAACACAGGCAACAGTGAAGCCAGAGTATTTTACAGTGCCTGTTTCTTAGACACATGACAAGATAGGGTTAGATTCACACTGAATTTGTGCTAGAAACGAAGAACATAGAAGACGCACAAAAGATCATCACACCAGCAAACCTGTGGAAATGCCTCTCCCTCAAATGTGTGACACATTGCAACTTAGCAAAGAACTGCACAGATCTTATATGGATGGGGTTTCATTGTGCTCCCAAAGATAATCTGCGTGTTGACTTCCTGAACTCCTTCTGTTGGGGTGAACTTGAATGTCTGCAACAGGGTGCAGAAGATGATGAAAAGCTCCATCCTTGCCAGCACCTCTCCCAGACACACACGGTGGCCTGCAGAGGGAGAAAGGGAAGAGCAGTCAATCCCCAGAGGGGGCTCTCTCAGACACTTGTTCCCCACCTTTTCCAAAGAGCTTCAGTCAGCCTCATCACGAAAGACAGACTTGGCTGACTTGACATCATCTCTCAGATTGAACTGACTAAACAATTACAATGGAAGAGATGTCTGTAACTTTTCTTTGCAGGATCTAGTCAGAATTATAGAAAAAGATACCAGAGATGCTTCTCGGCAGTTTCATACTTTATCTCCTGCTACTACAAACTCACTTTCAGTCTTGTAAGACTAAATGAGAATGACAAGGAAGCTTCTTTAGGTTCCCTCCCTTCTTCTACTTTATGTAAGTACAAGATAACTTCTCTTCACTAATGGCAGTGAAAAGTCAGAACAGAGAAGACAATTTACAGTTGACTAGACAATTTCCTACGTGATGTTTCCAGAGAAGACAACTAGTTAAAGAAAAAAATGTTTCCCAATTTGTCAATTAACTTTGTGCTCAGGATATAATTTCTGGTCAGAGAAAAAGAATGACCAACTCCAAAGCTTAGTGGTCAGGCCATTCAGCTGGGATGTGAGAAACCAACGTTCAAATTCCTGTTCTGCCCAGCCTAGGCTAGGAGCCTGGACTTGACATTTCCACATCCCGGCTAAGAGCTCTGACAAACAGGCTATTCATAACCCTGGCATGATCCCCAATAGCTTTTGCTGAAGCTATGTCACTTACCTACACATACACAAACACACACACACAGGGTGAAAGAGTGACTCCAGAAGCATCCCAGAAAAGACATAGTCATCTGGGATGTATTTGATCCAGGTTCATATTCCTGCACCAATGACTACTGAATTGCTTATATAAAGTACATCAGCTCCAGCAGAGCATCCTGCCACAGAACAGCCACTAAAGCATAGCCGGGCATATGCTAAGGACTCAAATCCGCAAATTACTAGCAATTGTAGAGCCTTACTCCTTTTACCTTCTCTACTTCTTCACAAAAATCTAAGATCAAGGGATCACACAATTACCAAACAACTTTTTTTTAATCGAAAAAGGCTGGGAAAACATGTGCTCCTAATTTTGGATTATGCTCTGTTTGGCCTTTTCTGCAATGAAAATAATACAACGTTACACTCACAGCGTAACCCACACAAACAGGTTTAGCTGTCAATGAACTTACCTGCTGAAAAGGCTGAGGCTTCTCTGGCCACAAAATTTCCATCCGTGTCCAAGAAATGACCAGGGTTGAACTGGTAAGGGGTTTCCCAGTATTTAGGGTCAAAAAGAGCTGAGTCTATGTTTGGCAAAATGAGAGTACCCTGCAAAGAAGATGGTGGTGGTTCAATTCTCTTTCTTAAGACTATACAGAACTCTCACAGAATACAGGTTTAACTCGTGTGAAATTGTGCTTTTGGCAAGCATTTTCACTCACTGTCTATAAGAAACATGCATGACCAGGGGGCATGAGAGGAGAAAAGTGCTATGTGCCAGTGCTGTCACCAAGACCTATGTCTGTCCTTAACTGAAGGGAAAAGGAGGGAGGAACATGACTGCCAGAAACTTTACTTTGCCAATACCAAACGCTGGGTTCTGGGCACAGAGATTGCTGCTCAGCTGCCTTTGCCAGTCTTACGCTAGTGAAGGAGGACTGTTAAAACAGGGAACAGAGGGGAGTGCTAGACACAAAGGGTTTGTCTCACTGCCTCTAAGAGATGGGATGGCATCACCACAGACACCTGCCCATCTCTACCTCTGGTTGCGGCAAATCCAACTTTCTCTCTCCTTCTGGAGGAATACGTGCCTCTTCCTAGGGAGAGCAGCAAAAAGGATTGGCACATCTCTGGAAAAATCTCCGGGTGAAGGTGGGAGTCTGGGGCATTACATGTTGGTGAGAGGAGGGGGAAGGCAAGAGTCACTGAAATGGTTTGGCTTGGACTGAGTTTCACAGGAACAAGGTACGCTCAGGAAAGAATCTTAAGCAGGACTCAACACTGTGTATTTCATGCCTATTCACAACAGTTTGAGAAGTGCCAGGTCTCTGGCCTTGCACACTGGCCCACTTTCCAGTTCAAGCGTTGGCCTCAAGTTTAATGTGAGCCAAATACCTTCACACATACATACGGATCATTTAATAGCACTTTTTAGATTTCAAGGGCAAGAGAAAGCTGTTCGTACAGACACAGCTATTAACAAGGAACGAATGGTTGTTCCAATACTTCAGAAAGGTGAGCTAAAATGCTGAAGGCAACTTACTAGATGTCTTCCTCAAAAGATCATTTCAGAACTTGACTTTAGTTCTATTGTGCAGTATATTAATTTCACTAGAATTAAAGCATCTGTTTAGTGACCTGCATAAACATGAACTGTTTTCTAAACAAAAAGTAAAAATTAAATTTTCATATAGGAATGTATTTTACATTAAGGTTTGAAGTTGTTTCCTACTAAGTCATCTTCAGTGAAAGAGGTGGTTATAGAGATGTCAAGAGTTTGCAGCACTTCCACAGCTGTAAGATGATTAACTATCATATTGGAGTAGATAGGAGAGCTGTACCTTTGGAAGCTGATATCCCAGAACACAGTTGTGTTCTTCACTGCTTGTCTAGGAATTGTGATTAAAATAATGCTACCATAGCGCATGATCTCATGAATCACAGCATTTGTATAAGGCAGTTTATTCCGCTCCTCGTCGCCGAGT